ACCTTTTTCCTCTAAGTATAGGTATCGGCCTCGGACCTAATCGAACCCCTAAATACTATAATTTTCCATCTCGTTGAAATAAATTTACTCAAATAGGTATAAAAACATAACATGATAAAATTTAGATTTCTATTTTTACATGCAAAAATTCAGCCTACTCCGGGTAGGATGGGATGGAGATTATGTTATATCTTTCTTATATGTAATCGATCTCTTATCTAGATATTTTTGCAAGACTATTATGTTAAAGGTTTCTTAGTTCTCCTCGATTAGTTAGGTGGTGACTCCTTATTCCTATGTGTTCCCCCTCGAGTCCTCGTCGACATAACTTTTTGAAAAATATGTATGTGTGTGTGTGTCTATATATAATAATAATAATAATCAATAGTATTAGTTGTCTGCTACCGGACATTTATGGGACTTTGAAAAAAATATATGCTTTAAGAGAAAAAGAATTAAGAAGATTTTAAAGGAAACTAAAAAACCTAAAAAAGACATTGGATTCGGAGATTTTAAGTAAGGAGTTGATTATGTTTTTGGGAAGATAAGAATCGCCTAAATGCATCCTTTTTGAAAAAAGATATCGAGTTTGGTTTAATCCTAAAAATATCTCTTACGAATTATGTTTGTCAAATTGTTTTTCCTAAGTCAATTTCCAAGTTTGTTTATCATTTAAGTCAAATTAATTTTTTTTTTTAATTATGGCATCGTATTAAATTGATATTGAGTCTCAAAATCAAGAGTCTCATCAATTTAGTATCGGATCCAATTACATCCCGACATGATCAGCATGTCAAGAAACGACCTAATTAGCCAAAAGTATTTAAAATTGATTTTTATTTATGATACCTTTTTTTGGATAATTTTTATCGAGGTGTCAAGACCAACGCCCATCCCTATTAAATAAAAGACTCATTGGTGTTTATTTTGTTACTTTCTATTATGTCTTGCTTATAATTCAATTCGGTTATCAATTATTTAAGTTTATTTAGCTAGATGAGATATCATCAAGTTTCTTAAGTTCTATTTATCATAGATATTTTCTTTTCTACCAATCAACTAAATTCAACATGAGATTGTTATCCTATTTATCATAGATATTTTTACCAATCAACTAAACTCAACATGAGATTGTTATCAATCTCTAGAACCTAAGAAACTTGACGATCTCTCATCTAGCTAAATAAACTTAAATAATTGATAAGTGAATTGAATAATAAGCAAGACATAACGAAAAATAACAAAATAAAAACCAAACAAATTTTAAATTAAACAAATAATTACGGACAACCTGTTAATATATAGGTACATATCTCTTTCAAATTTTAGATTAAAATGAAAGCAAAAGCTCGGATCGAATAATTAAATTTTGAAACAAACCTCCCTAATAATTAACACAACAAAACAATAATAAATTGCAAATAAATAGCAAATGGACTCCTAAAATTATGAAATTTAAAACACAAGTTAAGGACAAGTATATATAGAAACCTTATAAGTTTCAGTTTAAAATAACACTGGACACTAGACCTAAAAATTAAATTCCAAAACAATTCACACTAATAATTAAAATAACAACAAAATTATAAATAAATAGAAAATGGACTCCTAAAACTACAAAGTGTTAAAAACAAGCTAAGGACAAGCATATGTACAAACCCTAAAAATTTCAGGTTAAAATAAAATTTGACATGGGACCAAATAATAAATTTCAAAACAAACCACACTAATAATTAAAATAATGACAAAATAATAAATAAATAGTTAATGGACTCTTAAAATTAAAATATTTAAAGCATATGCTAAGGATAAATATATGTAAAAACCATAAAAATTTTAAATTGAAATAATTAAGGCAGACGTGTGACTTGTCAAAATGACTAAAATCGAAACCAACCCTAAGATTGAATCTCTACCAATTTCACCCCCAAATCAAACCATATTAGCCGCCCAATTGCAAGAAGATCTTATTAGTAGTTATCAATCTAAATAACCCTTATAACTATGAAGACTGTAATTTAAAAACAAACATAAGCTTGCCTCCAGATTTGAAACTAAAGGAAGCATTCGTTCACGGCTTCCATTAACAACAATAAAATGTCCCACCACCTGCCCCTCTCGATTTTCGTTTTGTATGAGTTTTAGCTTCAAAAAAGTCATCCTATTCCCTCATATACCTATGAAATTTGAGCTAAAATTGTTCTCTGCCCACCCTTTCATTCTAGGATGAGTTTTAGAGAGAGAAAGAGAAGCAGCTCATGGAAGAAAAGTTTTACCTTTTGAAGCTTCCACGGGCAGAACTGGACAATGCAACAAGGGTATCGTTCAAGGACACGCTCTCCTTTCCTTCTTTGTGTTGATGGTCTATGAAGGAGAGGATGGTGAATGACAGTGGTGGTTTTAATAAACGAGCGCTTCCTTTCCAATGGCTCCAAGCCGATTCTCTCCACCTTCTCATTTTTTTCTGAACCTCTGCCTCTCTCCTTGTTTTTTTAAAAACCCTTTTTACAAAAATATTATGCAACTAAACTAAATTCACATTTTCTTACAAAAATATTATCCTTATTAATTATGACAGCTCTCCCATGGCCCCTTCCTTTCAATTTCTGACCATTTAGAAATAACCAAATTTATTACAACTTTTAATTTGTTTGAAAACAAATGGCCCATACATCTAAAACGGAGACTTCAAGAAGGCATTGTCCAAGCATCCACAGCCACCATTATTAACTTCCGACCATTCAGAAATAACCAAATTTATTACAACTTTTAAGTTGTTTCAGAACAAATGCCTCATATGTTTAAAATGGAAACTTCAATAAGGCATTTTCCAAGCTTCCACAACCACCGCCATTCTTCATTATATTTCTGGATTCAATGAAGCATCTCAATAATTTTTTGTTTTTCGGTCCAATTCAACTTTTTGTTCAAGCAATCATGCATGACGGATGTGGGATAAATTTTTTTTTTTTTTCCTATGAACAAATATGCAAATAAATATAGGCAAACAAATGAATCACCTTAATATCTCTGCTTCCACCACCACAACAACAAAGCACTGCTATCAGTACGCTGTCATCGCCTTAGTTTTACTAACACCACATCCATCATTTTGTTATTAAAATAACTAAAAGTTTTTATTATTATTCTTTCATCATTGTTACCATTACTATTTTACAGTCACCATTGCCATATTAATTAACTACAATGGACCCCACAATTAATACTACTAATACATTATTATAATCACTTATTACTACTACCATTACCATTATTCAAATCAAAATATTACACCACCATTGTTACCATTACTATTTTACTGTCTATCACCGTTATCATTATTCAAATCAACATCATTATTACTACGTACATACCTAGTCGCTTATACTATTATTCTCATGATTCTCATGGTTGTTATAACTAACACCGTCACTTTTATCAATGCTATCCAAAAAATCAAGCAAAAATGATCAACTTGGTAATGACATATATGAAAAAGATATATGAATTACAAAATCATATTTAGATGTGCCAAACCTTACATAGAGTTTGATTAGGATTATAAATCAATAATTTGAATAGATAATATATTTAATTGCAAAAGTAAATGATGCATAAACAACAATTGTGACATTTTGTTGGTTTGTCCAAGAGTCATCACAAAACCCCATGACATACAAGATATGTCTAGAAGTTGATATTTTCTTTAATCAAATTAACTTCTTCTTCTTTCCAGGCAAGAAATTTTATAGCTTGTCTATTTATTTCAATTTGATAGTCTACACCATATTGTAAACCAATTAAAGATATATTAAATTAAATGTAAAAGATAAAATTTCATAATTTTTAATCAAAATTTTATATTTATTTATTCTTTTTATTTTTATTTTTTTGTTATAATTTTTGTAGTTAAAAAACACAATTTATTTTTCTTCCTGCATTTATTTTTAAATAAAATCTAAAATAATGTAAATAATTTTTTAAGAAAATATCTTAGTATTTTTTCATAAGATTGCATCGAAAAAAAACAAGAATCAATATAAAAATTAACAAATAAATCTTTTTTTAACTTTTTAAAAAATATATACATTTGATTTTTATTTATTTATTTTAAAAATAATTAATAATTAATATAAAAACATATAATTGAATTATTAAGTAGTTTTTTAAAACATTACGTGTACACATAGAAGCTAAGCCTGTCGCTCTTAGCCTCAGCCCTCACGTTATAGCATATTATCGAACTAAAAACAAAAAGCTTGCGCCAAAGGAGTGGCATCATATTACCACAAAGACAAGTCTGTGCGACGAACGGCTTCTCTTTTCAATTACGCCTTTATACAAGGCCTGCATCAAGCTTGTAGGTTTCTGGTGATGTTTTTTCTTCATTTTTTATTTTATTTTATTGAAGGAAAGAATGAGGTTTTTTTTTCCTTTAATTTCATCTAAATTGTAAAATTTCTTATTATTTTTTATTTTAATTGAAAGCATCACCTATTAATTGTATTTTTTTTTTTTAAGTTTTTAGTGCATAGGTCAATTTGATAGATTGAGAGTCAAATTTGTCATTTCATTTCTACCTGTTATTCATGCTAGTGGATAAAGCCATGAAGGGATCCTATCGGCAATGAAAATAAGGTAGGAGAGCCACATTGGTAAATAAACAAATTTAAGGATCGCAATTTAACTACTTAAGGAATTAATAATACTAATATTTCTTACGTTATGGCCGAAATGCCCCTAGACGAGGAAGCAGTTGCAAATAGAGTCCCACTTTATTTAACAAATAATTTTAGCACACCACACATTACTTAATACCTTAACTGTACACATACAAGCTAAGCCTTTCGCTCTTAGCCTCACGTTAAAGCATATTATCTAGAGAGAGAGAGAGAGGAAAAAAAAAAGCTTACACCAAAGCAGTGGTATCATATTACCACAAAGACAAGCCAGTGGGACAAACCGCTTTTTTTATTTTTTTATTTTTTTCAATAACGCTTTCATACAAGGCCTGCATCAATGTCCTTAATAATATATACCATCAAATCCAGGTATTTTTCGGGGACTGGGATGCTCCCATTCAGTTTCTCATATTCAACGCTTAATTTTGCCGAGCTGCCCGAGCCCTTGGATATGAACTGATAGGAGATATTAAAGACCTTGTAAAAGTTCATGACATCCCCTTCCAGACCATAATGAGTTATTTTTTTGTTGGCATCATCATATTCCACTTTCTCTTTGCACATCTCAGCTTTCCCTTCTGTTATTCAGTAATTACAAAAGAGTATTAATTCAATTCAAATATGTTTTAATAGCAATCACACATCGTAAAAAATAGGTAAAAAAATTATAAACTAAAAACACCAACGAAAAGGCAAATTTTCGAAACAAGAGCTCTAAGGGACTGTAACATCAAAATAGGGCTATTAATTTGGCCGCATAAAGTTGGTACTCCATCTATCTTGACACCATAGATAGGGTACCCTATTTTTCTAAAAATATGAAATAACATCATGGTTTTTTAAATTACAATCGATTCTAGTTCCTGTTGCAAACAGAATACATACATATGGCGTAGAATCCCGTTGTGAGTATACGTGTTACGTAAAAATTACCAGTAATTAGATATATAGCATGCAAAATATTTAAAACCAAATACATAGAAATATGTATAAATTAAATCGTACAAACTAGTATACTAAAGTGGATAAATATTTATATCAATTACGAGTACAAAACATTATTAAAAAAAAAAATTCTCATATAGAGCGTAGAAATAACGGCCGTTATAGTCGCCATGCATGTAAAATGCTCAATTAGGGTATAAAATGAGTTATTTTTAGTGATTTTAAGCATTTGTATTGTTCCGAAAAGTATCCTATAAAAAAAAAAAAGAATCAACTGCAATTGTTGATTTTACTGTAATTGTAATCGTACCTATAGTGTAGTTCCAAACCTTGATGGAGCCATCAGTCTCCCAGTCACCATGATGTACATTAACTGCTTGTACATTATTAGGAGTATGCTTGGAAACCTGGTGGGCTTGGTTCTTCCATAAGTTGTACAACTTCGCAGCAGGAGTTTTGAGTTCCACAACCGTCTCCAGCTTACCTTGCAGAGCCATTATTCTGTAATGTGTAAATATCTGAGTAAAGCAATATGGTCGGGCTGTCTTTATATACAAGTCACTCAGTTTCTGTTCACAGCTGATCACTTGCCTTTTCGGTAATTGTTTGATTTTTGAATTAACAATGGAGTTGGTAAATTACGAGACATATTGCGTGTCTGTCTTTTTTATGGGTTTTATGTGGGCCATACACGAAAATGATTGCGTATGGCATTTTTTAACGAAAATTGATATTTTTTTAATTGCAACCTGATAATATGTTTTATAAAAAAAAAAAAAGTAAAACATTAAAATAGAAGAACGTATCAGTTAGATATTAAAAAAATAATAATAATAAACAACAAAATTACAGTTTTCCCCACCGAAATTTGTCGTAATTATACGCTTGCTATTCCACCATTTAATAGTCAACACTGCAGCTAACTTTGACATACATTCACCCAAAAAAGCTTGGGCAAACCTAAAAAATGCTCCCCTCACCCCTCAACTATTGGGTGATTATCAATTTTATCCCCAATTAGTTTTTATTCTGGACGGATCGGAATCCATGATCAAACATAGGTGAAAAGATTGAGATTCTAAAACTTGGGAGACAAAATTATTTGGAAGCTATTTTAACAATCAGATCAACCAACTCGAATTATCAAATTTACTTTTTAACTGCTATTTTCTTTTTCTAAAAGTTGATTATTCAAAAACTAGTCAGCTTCCCGCAACCAGATGAATTAAATATTTTTATTTTAGTTTAATGATTTACATTATACTATCAGTTAACTAATTAAAATATATTAAGTTAAAAAGTAAAATACAAAATTTTATATAATTTCATAATTTTTAATCAAAATTTTGTACTTTATGTATTTTTTATGTTTTTTTTATAATTTTTGAAGTTAAAAAATAAAAACATGATTTGCTCTCCATCATCCATCCATTCCTAAATAAAATCTGTAATAATTTAAATAAAAAATTTAATAAATTTTTTTAAAACAATGTCTTAATATCTTTTTTCATAAAATTACATCGAAGAAAAAAAAAACAAGAATCAATATAAAAACATGTATAAAAATTAACAAATGAATCTCTTTTAACTTGTGAAAAAATATGTACATTTGATTTATATATTTATTTACAAAATAATCAATAATATTAGTATAAAAACATGTATTTGAATCGGTGATTCTTCAAAAACATTAGTTTAACTATTTATTTGAAAGAAATTAATTTTATAATACTAAAAAAGATTTAATAGAAAATGATTAGTGTTATGTGTTTAATTAGTTAATTAGTTATTTTATTGACAAACTTTGTTTTGGCTTTGTTTGTCCCGACTCATGATTGCTATGTTTCTTCTATTCTTTCCTTCTACAAACAAAAGAAAACTACGGTAAAAAAGCTCCCAATAAGCTACATGAACGGAGACACAAAATTCAAGGGTATCGACGAGTAGGAAAAAAAACTAGAAAATCTAAAAAAATTTAATAGCGAGATGATTGTTATTATGTATATAGATGCATAATTAATTTTCAATAAAACCAATAATTTTGATATTTTTTATACATTATGACCATATTCGGTGAGTCAAAGCATGCAATATAAATCAAAAAATATTTTTTTAAAAAAAAACTTAAGTTGTAAGGAATATATTGAAGTTAATAGAGTACACTAAAAACAACTACAAAATTAATTCGATGAATTTTGATTATATAAAGAATAGGCAAATAAGATACGTGAATTCTATTATTTAATTGATTATTTTTTTTAAATCGTTTGAAAATGCAACCAAAGAGAAAAGTAAATCATATTTATTAACAAAGAATTTTATATAAAAAATAAAAAGTTAATTTGATGAGAATTTTTATAAGAATCGACAAAATTAAAAAGTTCAATTTTAAACCAAAAGAATAATATATTTCATTATATATATATATATATATATATATATATATATATATATATATATATATATATATATATATATATATTAAAATTTAAAAAGATATCATATATATTTCACAATTCTTAGTACGTGTGAAAATTAAAAAAAAAGATTGTTTTTCTATAATTTTTATACTCAATTCAATAATAAAAAAAACATAAATTGCTAGGAAAAGAACAAAAGAAAAATAATAATAATAATAAATAAATAAATAAGGCAACCTTGTGCACTTGAGCCTCGCCGTTTAAAAAAAAAACACATGGACGTCGTTTGCGTTGGGCGGCATTGCAAGGGACGCATTGCCTACCTACGACTTTTGGCAAACTCCGGTTCGCTAGAATCATTACTAAATGATTAGGAGTCCTTTTCAGATTTTTGAAATCTATTTCGACATCGTTTTTGTTCCAAAAGGCCTTAAAATAACTGGAATAAAATCAATAAACTTATTTATAATCTTAAAAATCATTTCAATGCACATTAAAAAAAAAAAATCAAATCAAATTAAAAAGTTAAATTTTTTTTATGCTTTGATCTATTTCATCTAACTATTTCATAGTTTAAAAAGACGATGAATACACTCTTCTCAAGAAGACAAATAATGCGAATTCAAGATCGGCAAAAAAAACGACCGAATAACAATAATATGAGGGACCAAAATATCCTTTTAAAACATCGGGGATTAAAATGAAAAGAAATGCAAAATTCGTATAAAAAGGCCCAAAAAACAATTAAAAAAATCACAAAAAATTACCGTAAAAAATGATTAAAAAAAATGTAATATATTGAATAGTTATTTGTGATTGTTATATCTAAAAGGTTTCCTTTTAATAATTTTAACCAACTTCCAAATTTACTTGAGTGAAATGGCCCTGCAAGTGCCCTTTTAAGTGTATATCTATAGTTGACAACTAGTGTCGATGTCCGAGCTTCGCTCCGGGAAAATTTTCGCATATTATAACGAGCATGTCCGTGTTTTATCGTAGTAATTTTATTATTGGGAATAGTTTATCGATGGAGTAAAGTTGCATGATTTGAGGAGGCAATGGATAATGTCCGATTTATGGATTTCCATATCTTACGGGAACATATACATGTCATACATCCATGACTTATCATTCGAGCCTCACTACCCTTAAAAACATAAAGTCACCATCTTAAATTAGGTTTCTTAGCATGCGGGGGCTCGATGAACAGCAATGTAATACCTAGAAAATGAAAAATCAAATAGCATGAGTGGATATAAGAAAGCAAAGTGTGCAAAACATGTCTTAGTAAAGTTTTTCAAATAATGGTGCATAGATGTCAAAATGTGTAAAGCAATTGCATGAAAAAAATGCCAAACAACTTCTAACTAACCACCGGATTTGTATAAAAGAGGTGTGTGAGAGAGAGGTTCAACGGAAATATGAAGGAAAAAAAAAAGAAAGGAAATTCTCTTCGATGAAATTAAAAGCAATGTACATATCACCTACCTCGACTCTATTGGTTTCAACGGCGAGCTTTCCGGATAGCTCAAAAGAAGGTTGTTGCTGCAAGTTGTAATGATAATTGTCATAACTAAGGTCATTAGGTAGACACGATAAAGATCTATCTCCTAGCCAAACAAAGGTCATTAGTAGACACGATAAAGAGCTATCTCTTAGCCAAACAAATGTATGTTCACTAACTTAATAAGGAACACTAACCACGAGAAAGTATAGCAACCACACACAAGTTGTTCCTACCTTCTTCTTGGCTTCTAAAGCCTCCTCGGCGACCTTCATCTTAGCCACGGAATCATCATAATTGTCATCATCATCATTCCTGCACATACAAGCAAGGAACCTCTAAATAAAAGATACATAAAAGCTTAACATAGTAGAAGCAAATGATCGTCAATATTATGAGATGAAGAAAAAAAAAAGCTAAGCCTAAGCAATGGATATGTAATAATGTGCTTATATCATTGTCTTATAATCTTTATTCAACAACCATGAATGACAACAAAGTTAATAAAACTTACGTAACCTATGGTATTGTGCATGTGCCCCTTCGACCACCACCTTTTTTTTTTGGGGGTGGGGAGGTGTTCTTTTTATTGTCAAGAATGTATCACTTCAAAACGACAAGATCTAGTCTATTACGCTGGTGAAATCACATATCATTAATTGACCTATTTTGCTAGGCTTGTAATCCCAAAAACATTAGAAAACTAATGCTTCCTCGGCTTGGTGTTCTTTCTAACAAATTTATTTATGTTAGACAATTTGGCTTATTATTATTAGGTGTCATCGAATGACCTATTTTGCTAACCTTTTAATCCCTAAAAACTTCGGAAAACTAATGCTTCCTTAACATGGTGCTCTTTCTAACAAATTTAAGTGGGACAATTTGGTTCATTATTATTATTAGGTGTTTCTAAATACCATGTCCACGGTAGAGGCTTGTTACCAAAGTTCCGGTAAAAACATGAGAATAAGAAAAGTTCAAGAAGAAGCCTACCTTTGTTTAGCATCCCTTGAGTTTGTCCCCTGAAATAATTATTTTTTTCTCATCGGCATTTCATTTAAGAATCTTTTATGGAGAAGCAACTCTAAAGATCCATCAAAGATTGAAATCTTACAAAATATACATAATCCACAAGACTTTTTTTTATCAAGAAAAGGATTTTAAAACCTCGAGCCAAATGATTCGGGACCTTCATTTTCTAGCAAAACATACTACGGGTTTCTATTGGGATTCTTTGTGCTCTTGTAATTTCCACAATTAGGACTTTGTCAATTGTAATGTGGCTAATAGATATTGTTTTGGCTTATGCTATAGGTTAATGCGAGTTAAGAGAAGAGGCAAAAGAGGAGATTTTATGGTTTCTAATGAGAGATTAAGGAGTTTGGTAGTTTTTTTTTTTTTAATGGAATCGATGTTAAAGTTCATGATTTGAAGTTCATATGCATGGTGCAAATAGTAAGTTACCTGCTGAAATTGAATAGGGTTATTTCTAAAAGTTTTCGGTTTTTAATACTACAAAGTTTCCAACAACTTCATAAAGTAATTTATCAAAATCCAACGAACAACACTACATTGACTAAATATCCAAATAGCCACTTAAAATAAAACACCATCACATAGTTTCTAATCAAGTAAATCCAAACTCAAAATCCTTACAAACAACACGTCTCTTCTCAAAAAGCTAAGAATTTATCAAAACCCAATACACAAATCACATTTATTTTCTAAATTTATCAAATTGACAATAGTACAACAACATGAATTAGCCTACATTTATTAGAAACATTGCAAAAGCAAACACTTTTTAACCACAAACAACAAAATAATAAGATTATTGCATCAAAAAGAACAATTTTTAACCACAAACAACAAAATAATAAGATTATTGCATCAAAAAGATGTTTAGACCAAAGCATTATTAGGAGTAGATATCACTTAGATGCCTCATTGCAATCTCTATCTGATTGAGACGATGGTCATCGAGACTCGTGTTTGCTCCTATTGTGATAGTCCGATTCCAATGGTGAAATAGACCATCCCCCACGTCTTCCTTTAGAAAAAGAGTTCCCTTCAATCCTCCTCTTTCTCTATGATTCCTCTCCACTTCTCTCGTCACCCTTCCTCTTCTTTTACGAACCCCTAATGTCGCCCTTTCCATGATTCCTTTCATAACACCCTCTCTTTCCCTTTGCATGCCACCCTTCTCACTTCCCTTCTTCTAGGGGTGAGCAAACGGTTTGGTTAACCAAAAACCGAATAAAATCAAACCGAATTATGAAATTTGGTTCGGTTTTAAGTATAAAATTATATAATTTAAAATCGAATCGAAAAATCAAAATTATTTCGGTTCGATTCGGTTTTTGAAAAAAAATTTCGAGTTCGATCGAAAAGCTGAAATAAACGATAAAAAATCCTAATTTCTTTTAAAACCCTAACTTCTTTGATATTCATTCAATCATTCTCACTTGAAAGCTCGAAATTGAAACACGCAATCATGAGTCTCTCTTGTTCTCCTTTTGTCTTCCACTCTTTCCTAGCCTCCTTCGGCTTCACTCCTTTCTTCTTCGGTCTCCAATCACCGGTTCTCCTTCGGTCCTTCTATCCCTCATTCCCTTGTTCGTTAGTTCTTCACTTCTCCCTTTGTCCTTCATCCGTCCTCCTTCATCTCACGATTATCACCTCATCGGTCATCACTCATCGATCGGACGAGTCACCACCCACCACCCTCCTCCTCGGCTCCTTCTACTTAGGCGATCGGGCACTCAAGTACTCTTCATCTCTTCCTCAATTGGCGATCTCTCCTAAGGTCGGTCTCTTTTACCTTTTTTTTTTTTTGGTTCACCTCTACATATGTCTTATAGATCGTTGATTGATAAAAAAAATTGTATCGGATCAAATATTTCCTTTTTTGGGTTATTTCAATGTTGTTAATTTAAGAGCAATACATGATTTGTTAATTTGTTGTGCTTGGTCTAGAGTCGGGTTTAGCATTAATGCGGATTCGTTAGAGACTTGAGCAAGATTAGCTAGTATCGGTGTGAGAAAGCTATCAAGTTAGTTGGGCTTATTTTGTTGCGGCTAGAGTCGGCTTGAATTCTTGAATCCGGAGGCTAGAGTACTCGAATAGGAAAAGCATTTAAATTGTAATTGGGTATTCATAGTCATAAAAGACTAATTTTTGTTTTGCTTTTCTTGTTCATAATAGTCGTCATAGATGAGCTATCCTTGTATGCTAAATAATAATACTTCGACTTGGAATTAGTCACATTTTTTGTTCGTTCTTTGACAATTAAGACCCAAGCATAATTTCCAAATTGACATTCCTAATCATCGAGAGAATTTAATGGTTTTCATTCCATAAGAGAACTCGTCACATTTTTTTGTTCTTGTTGTTACATATTTCTCTTGATAGCTTGAAAACATAGACATCGAGTCGAAGTAAGTTTATGCTATGTTCGGGATTTTGTTAATAAACACATCATTACATTGTTAACGAAGCTTCCAAAATAGGTAGCCCTACATTGATTGACATTAATCTAGTTCCTTCAATATTCCGTTGTCCGATTAGTTACTTTTCTTCTCCCTCCCCCTTAATTTTTGTGATACACCTCTATTTCTAGTGGTAGCTTTTTTTTCACATACAAACAAGAAAATGAACTCGGAGGGATCACATCACATCAAGCTATTGAATTCGAAGAATTTCTATGGAGTATTAATTAATTTGTAATGATTCCTTCAACCAAGAATTGTCTTAGTTCGTGAATCATGATAGAGGAGACGTTACCTTACCTAACCAAAATAGGAATCACGTGTACTTGTGGTGGTCGCCTTTTTTGGAATACTCCAATCAGCAATTCATTTTAAAAAATGAAAACAAATTAAGTAGGAGTAGCTAGTAGTTGCTTAGTTGGGCAATGGGCATTGGGTGGCTTTCGAATTCAATAAAGAGTGAGAGATCCATTATAATTGGTTACACTACTTTATCCAATGGTTGTTCTTGCCTCTAGCTTATATTTTATTAGCTTTGTATTTTTTCCTTTTTTACTTGTTAGTACTGTTACACTATTTCACGACTTGGAATTAAGTTGGAATGGAGTAGCATCTGCTGCTTAAGTGCTTGTCGAAATTTTGTAGCTCGCTCAATGTTGGAATTTTGCAGTACTTCTGCAATGTCGTCTGCTTGGAATTTTACGATTCTTCGTTGTTATTGTAATTAACAAATTGTTTATCTTTTTTATTGCAATTGCTATTGTTGTAGCTATGTTTTGATTTTAAAATATGTTTGATATATTAGTTTGTGTGTGTCATTGTGTAAATTGTGATTGTTCTAGATATTGACTATCGAGCATTGGAACATGATGCTACTCTGTACTACTTGTCTAATTGGAATATCCTTTGATTTTGGGACTCGTTAGTAAACACAAAAACATGAATAATAGTAGGCAATAGCACTTCTAGTAAACACGAAAAAAGAAAAAAATGATTTTTTTTTTTTTTGCAATAAAATATTTTGGTTAAAACCGAAATATTTCGAAACCAAACCGAAATAATTTGGTTACAAACCGAATTAACCGAAATTATTTTGGTTTGGTTTTGGTTTTTATTTTCTTAATTCGGTTAATCGAAAACCGAACCGAATCGTACATAACCGAATGATCACCCCTACCTTCTTCTCATGATTCCTCTCAATCTCTCCATCCCTCATTTTTTCACCCTGTTTCTCATCTTGGGCTCTCCTTAATCTTTTAGTCCTTGGCGAAAGAGACCTCGGGCGAGTTGAATTTCTCTCCTTTTCCACTAGGGATCGATCCTTTTGAGAGCAACTGTGTCTTGATGGAGAAGGAGGAGGATGAAGAGGAGATGGAGAACGAACATCTCTTGTTTCTTCAAAGATTTATTATTATTGTGGTTTGAGCATTGTTTCTTTCTTATTGGAGAAACATCTCTATCTCTACCTCTATGAGAGCTTCTATGTGAATCCCTCACTTGGAGATTGGAATAAATTGCTCTCCATTGCCTTTGATTTTTGAATTTCAGCGAGAAAATAACGATAAAATTTACTTAAACCCTAGAATTTTGAGAGAAGAAAGGAGAAGCAATACGGAGCGAGTACGAGAGAAGTGAGTTGCTAACACTTATGAAGGCCCCAAAAAAAAAAAAAGTACGAGTGAGTGAATAGTAAATTGAGTGTGAATGAACAATATAAGTGAATAGAAAAAACTCTTATTCTTTAAGTTTGTTTGTTAATAGACTTGGAGGCTCAATATATAGCTTGTTCATTCGAGTAATTGGCCTTTTCCGTTTGTTTTAAGGAAAGGAAAGGATAGCACTGCAATTCTCGCTCTTATACACTTTTCCTTTTTCTGTTATTAAAGAAACATACCAAATCACCCTTTCGAACTTTTTGGTTCACTGGTTTATCATACAATAAAATTTGTTTCAAGATCAATAGGTTTCGTAACTACAATTAATATGCAGTCTTCATCGTTTTAAACATGTATTGTTACCCCAAATTCACAATTCAAGAAAATTTATTGAAGATTTTATGACATTAATGATCATGCATGATTGGAAAACTATATATAGTAAACCAACTCCATATAAGGGACAATGATTCTTCTTTAAGACAAGAATACTTATTAATTGCTCCCAGTTTAATATGATTTGGCACTTAATTAGGTCGACTACCAGCTATGAATTTAATACGATTTGGGACTTAATTAGGTCGACTACCTGCTGTGAAAATTTAAATCTCTAGGAGGTATTGTTATTTGTTAGTGTGAGTGAGAAACAAAAGGACAATGTGCATTGGTGTATGGCTTATATATGGCTTTGGTTAATTAATTTGAGATTGAGCAAAGGATATAGAACGATAATTTTTTATACATAGATTTATGTTTTTTTATTTTTTATTTTCTTATTATAAAATGTACAGTAGTTCGAACCAAAAAATTTTTAGAAGCAAGAGATATGAGCCCCAGCTGATCTATGTACATAATGAGGTATTTTAAGACCAGCTGAGTTATTTCAGATTTTTTGTTTAAATGAGTTTTGTATATTGATTTTGGATTTTGAAATTTAAAGAAAAATTACTATTAGGTTTAAAAATAAGGTAGGAGACCCACATTGGTAAATAAACAAATTAAAGATCCCAATTGAACTACTTAAGGAGTTAATAATACCAATATTTTTTTACGCTGTGGCCGAAATGCCCCTAGAAGAGGAAGCAGTTGCAAATAGAATCCCACTGTATTTAACAAATAATTTTAGCACACCACAGATTACATAGTACCTTAATTGAAGACATACAAGCTAAGCATGTCGCTCTTAGCCTCACATTATAGCATATTATCTCGGGGAAAAAAAAAAAAAAAAGCTTACACCAGAGGAGTGGTACCATATTACCGCAAAGACAAGCCTGTTGGACAAACCGCTTATCTTTTCAATTACGCCTTCATACAAGGCCTCAATCAAAGTCCTCAAAAACATATACCATCAAATCCAGGTATTTTCCGGGAACTGGGACGCTCCCATTCTGTTTCTCATATTCAATACTTAAATTTGCCGAGCTGCCCGAGCCCTTGGATATGAACTGAAAAGAGGACTTAAAGACCTTGTAAACGTTCATGACATCCCCTTCCAGAACATAATGAGTTGTTTTTTTGTTGGCATCATCATATTCCACTTTCTCTTTGAACACCTCAGATTTCCCTTCTGTTATTCCGTAATTACATTATAGCATTCGATTCAATTTTTTTAATATCAATCACACATTGTAAAAAGTTGATAAAGAAAAAATATAAACTAAATACACCAACGAGACGACAAATTTACGGAAAGAGTATTCTAAAAGAACGTGACATCAAAATGGAGCTCTATCAATTTGACCGCATAAAGTTGGTACTCCATCTATCTTGACATCATAGATAAGGTAGCCTATTTTTTCAAAAATACGAAATAGCATCATGGTTTTTTAAATTATAATCGGTTTTGGTCACTGTTTGAAACAGAATACATGCAGATGCGGCGTAGAAAGCTGCTGTGAGTGTACATGTTATGTAAAAATTACGAGTAATTAGATACATGGCATGCAAAATATTTAAGACCAAATACACAGGAATGTTTATAAATTAAATCGTACAAATTAGTATACTAAAGTGGATAAATATTTATATCAAGTATCGGTACAAAACA